GGGGGGGGAATGGTCGTGAGATATCATTGTGGAACTGACTGGGCGCAGGTAATTCAGAATCATTTGATTTGATTCGAGTTACATCTGTATCCAAACTCAGGTCTACATTTTCAACGGTTGATGGGTGCACAGACTGAACGAAGGCCCGTTGGTGTTTACCTTTTGTCTTTTCTTTTTTTCTTTTTTTCAATCTGAAATAATCCTCTCATCTTGATTTCTCGGCTTGGCTATATGTTATGTGCCTGATTGAAAACGAAATCCAGCATGCCGTTCACACGTTCCCATACACATGCGGGAGGCAAGTAGACTTGGAGAGAGAAATTCACACCAAACCAGGCGATGATATTACACAGCGGAAGTACTCAAGAGTCAAAACCATTAATAGAATTGAATTTAATTCAATTCTTATTATCCCGTCTCTCTCTCCAGTTCAACCAACAGCATTCCGAGAATCTCAACCGTGTTTTCAACAGAACCACGGACGAATTATATACAAAGTTTCATGGAAGTATCCAGGAGCCTTCTTCTTCCTCCCTCTTCCTCATACTCTAGCTATGGTGCTATGAAGTGTCCACTCAGCAGGGGAGCGCATTTCCCAGGATGATGAAGAAGAAGAACAGCAACTCGATGAAGATGAAGATCGGCCACATTGAAGAAGAGCCACTGAAAGGGCAGCTTTGGTGGCAGCTGACCAAACCCCAACAAGCACATGGATATGAGGAAGCGCTCATCAGCACTTGGGTGCCGAGCCCAGCGCTGTCACCAATGGAGCTGGCCGGCTCCACGCCAGCGGCATGTTGAGAAGATGCCCTGCATACATGCCCACATAGCACAGCAGGGAAGCATCACGACCTCCACCAAGACCGTGAAAAAAAAAAGCAACAAAAAGAACCCCAAACTCGTCGGCCTCTGCCTACTTCTACCCGACTTCCCTAGACCTACAACACAGGAGCCACCTACAGACCTACGTGACAGTCCAAACAGCAAACATCTACGGCCAAACAGTCAAGATCTACCTACATGCATCTGGATGGAAACCTGGACTAGGGGGACCCAAGGCTAGGGCACACAAAAGAAAGACCTACGGGCCTACCAGTTTCCAGAAGGGCAGAAAAGGACAAAACAACGAGGCTGAAAGGCCTAAGACTACGAAGTAGAGATTACTAGTCAAGATCTACCTACATGCATCTAGATGGAAACCAAGGCTAGGGCACACAAAAGAAAGACTACGGCCCTACCAGTTTCCAGAAGGGCAGAAAAGGACAACACAACAAGGCTGAAAGGCCTAAGACTACGAAGTAGAGACTACTAGCGACAGGTTCAAGGTCCAAGCCCAATAAAGCTCAAAAACAGTCTAAAACACCACAAACACACTACAGGTCACGGGATCAAGTCCCGCAACGCCCAAAACGAGGAAACAGCAAACACAGTTAGTGCACAGTCCCCACTGGGATACCGCGAATTACTGCATATATCTATCCCAGCACTTTGCCAAATTTCGACTTTCCGCCCCCCCAGGAAAATCTAGTCTAACATAAGCTCAACGTCTCAGCGATCCATACTGTTACCTTCATCTTATTATTATCTTTTTTTATTCTAATAATAATTTTTGAAAATTTATAAATTATAATTCAAAATGCAGAAGCAATGGTTCACAGAAGTTCTGAATGAAGGGGGGGAAAAAAGGAGTTATTGCGAACAGAGGTCCACGTCTTGTCTTAGACGGATCAGGAGTTTGAAAGTAAAAAATGTAGAAGCAAGTTGAAACAAACACTTGACATCGTTGAAAGGCTACCAAGCTCATCTGAAATCTTGGCCATTGTCTTGAGATTCTCGAGAGACCATTTTTCTTGCTGTGTTGCCTACAAGTTTCTGGACATTGCCCCCATAGCCCACTGCTTTTTTGCCTTTTTTTCTGCTTTTTATTTTGCCAATCCCATTGCCTCATGGCTCTCGCCTAGATGAATTGTGAGTTTGAAAATAAAAAATAAAAAACTGTGAGCTCTTCAGCTGTATCAGGAATACATTCAAGAAAGGAGAATCAACAAACTTTCAGCAGGATCGTGGACTTAAACTACCAGAGGACGGCCCGAGCCTTGTAGAAGATTGTGAGTTGCCAACTGCTAGCCGGACCACAATGGCTGGCGGCATGAGCCAAAAAAGAAGAAAAGTGCGCTGCTGGCGGCCCGGCAAAGCTTGGTGCACAGTGAAGTGCTGCTGGGCCTGGTGAACTGGTGTACGTATCTGGTGCGCGGGGCCGGTTGAGGAGACGGTGGACTGTGATGCTAACATTTCCTATTTGAAATCCGGTCTGAACGGTTTTTGCTGTTTGTCATAGTGAGTGACTTCATGTGTCCATGTGAGTGAGATGCATGTGTGGTTTTGCCCCGTGCCCGCTTCAGGCCGGGATTGGGCGTGGCCTGAGCTGTACGAATCCAGCCTTACCTTGCCATTCGGTGGCAGATCACCCAGGGAGGTCGGGGGGTATAAACGGGGGGGTTCTCAAGGGGTATATCTTAACTCTTGTTTTCTATTTTTCTAGTTTTTAACTCAAATTCGGTAAGGAATTTCAAGGAGACCGTCAGTCAGCATACGTTTGTCTTGCAAGTCACACGGCATATGTTTTTGTCCATTTTTTTTATTTTTTTTTTAAGTTTCTTAATGTTTTGCACTTCGACTGCCCGGGACCCTACCCGGACCTTGACGGCCCCACTTGGTGGCACCCAAGCGGACAGCAAGTCTGGGCCTTCCAGGGACCAGCACAGACTGACCAAAAGTTGAGGTCCATGGTTCAACCATCGCATGACTCGTCTGACTCAATCATCTTCTTCGGTGAAGAATCGGGGGGATGAACATGAGAGTGACCAGAGGGAAGGTACGGGCATCATGGGACATCCTGATGTGCGATTTTTTCAAATTATGTGCTTGTGATTGAAGTTATGAATCTTGTGATGTTCTACGCATGACCTTTGGGGAGTGTGCTACGCTCGACTTTGTGCCACCGGGGAAAATCTCGCTCGTATCTTCTCCACTCATATATTCTGTGGGCGCGGTTATGTATCTCTCCCTCCCTTTGAATTCCTAGGACTCTCTATATGTGGCCGTTTTTTTTTCGGTTGTTTTCAATCGGATATTTTCTGTAGACTATATCAATACGCCCAGTTTAAAACTTAGTATGTACTTGGATTCAAAAAAAAAAAAAGAAAAAAAAAAAGTATGTACTTGGATTGAATTTAGAATTGAATTGTATCTAAGAATTTAGTTTGCCTTTGGAAATAATTTAAACTGTAAAATTTTCGTGAATTGCGTTGTGCATTTTCGAGATTTGCAGATTATAGCTCGTAGTTCTTTGCCAATAATGTTTCGATCCTAGAAACATGCCGGCGTTTTCCTGTGCAACAAGGATATTATAAGGCTATAGATTTGCTTTGCAATTTTTTATTTTTGGAGATTCCTTTAAGGGACACTGGACCCGGTTTCCAGTAGCCTACGCTGAGTATTGGTCTCAGTAGATTTGTACCGGGTTGATATGTAGGGGTGTGTTCCCGGGCCCTGGTGGTCTCATTGGAATGAAAAATGTTATGTTTCTACAAAAAAAAAAAAAAAAAAAAAAAAAAAAAAACCTTAAATTTGGTTGGTGGTTGTTAAAACTTAAAACTTAATTAATATTAATTTACTCATTTATGTTTGGATCCAGATGCTATTGCAGGTATTGACTTAGTAATTAATAATCATATTTTTATATGTTTGTTATTAATATAATAATTGCTGTTATTGCAGTCCAACATAGAAAAGCTCCTTCAGATAAGGACAGCTGGCACTGTAACTGAGGTTCAGTCTGGGCATGCGGATTGCAGCCACTCACCATCAGCAGGAGCATCACCGAGCCCTCGTCTCTCTTCACCGGATTGTGGTAGGTGTGATATGCACCCTACCTAATGTGCCATAACCATGATCTACCTCCCCCATGATCTAACCATGCACTCCTATGGCTACCCTTTACAGGCCTCTAAGTGTTGTTTCATCACTGACATCCTTGCATAGCAGTGTTGAGAGTGCCATTTGAAGGTTGGAAAAAGAACTCGCACCTGCCTCATGTGGCTGAGCGGTACACACATATGTTAATCTCGATGAACAGATCATGAGTTCAAATTTCAAATCCTTACGGAAGCAGATGGATGCAACAATGTTAAGGGCCAGGATAAAGAAGGCTCGAACTTAAAGGAAGGTTAGGAGGACCCAATCCCCTTTCTCTATTTGAAATTTGGTAGAAAAGAGCCACATGGGGATAAGAAAAGAACATTGGCAGAGTGATTAAAAGACATGTGGATTTAAGAGTTAAAAAAAAAAGATTCTATTGAAAGTCTGAGAATAATTGCAAGAGTTTAACTGTGCTATTTGGAAATTAAAAACATTTTCTGCCGGACTTCCGTTCCTCCAATTGACCATGGCAAAGATTAGCATGACCCCTGCGCAAGGATTGAATCATTAAAGTTGATTGAACGCATGGATCGAGAAAGGGTCTGATTTTCTCAACTGGGAAAAAAAAAGAAAGGAGGACGACAATGAATAATCTGATTCTGGACATTTTTTTTCCCGCTCAAATCGAGAATGCCTCTCGAGTCTGAAGCAGGACGGTGTCAGGCCATAGTAGGCCTGTGAAGGGGGGGGTAGCATAGGGTAGCTTAGTGTGGGCAGAGGATGTAGATAGATGTAGCACTGTTCGAAGATAGAAGGAAGAATTTTGATTACACTGCGTTTCGCACAGGCAACTATAAGCGAAGCTGAGTAATGCTCTCAGTAAGCCAGGTTGAATTGTGAGGTCCCTGACCTCGATGAAAGTTTTCCCTTCCCTTACCTTCTTTAAGCAAATAGCGGTCCTCGTGTGACGGTCCCATGCCAGGCCAAAACGCCAGTGTTGGAAAAAGAAGCGGGTATTGAAGGGGGCCCCAGTTGAAACTGTTTTTTAGGCAGGGAGCAAAGGCGGCCCCGTTCGCAACTATTTGCAGGGAGCAAAGGCAGCCCCGTTCACAACTATTCACACAGCCAGAATTGTGCGCTGCGCCGGCGCAAAGGCAGGGAGCGAAGGCGGCCGCTTTCGAAAGTATTCGGCTAGGCAAATCACGCGCTCCGCGGTCCATTCGAAAGCATTTGGTCGGGGCAAAATCGCGCGGTCCGTTGCTAATGGGAAGCTTCGACGTGCGTTGGAGCGAGAGCGAGAGAGAGAGAGAGAGAGAGAGAGAGAGAGAGAGAGAGAGAGAGAGAGAGAGAGAGAGAGAGAGAGAGAGCATGGTTCAGGAGGCGTGAGGGAAGACCGGGCTGGAGCCGTCGTTGAGCATGGTTCAGGAGGCGTGAGGGAAGACCGGGCTGGAGCCGTCGTNAGCATGGTTCAGGAGGCGTGAGGGAAGACCGGGCTGGAGCCGTCGTTGAGCATGGTTCAGGAGGCGTGAGGGAAGACCGGGCTGGAGCCGTCGTTAACGGGAAGCTTTGGCGCAGGAACGTGGAAACGCGGCATTGGCCGGGAACGGGTTTGCTGCTTTCGTCAACGTGCGTTGGGGAGAGAGAGCGAGAGAGAGAGAGAGAGAGAGCATGGTTCAGGAGGCGTGAGGGGAGATGGGGCTGGAGCCGTCGCTAACGGAAAGCTTTGGTGCGGGAACGTGGGAATTCGGCATCGGGCGGGAACGGGTTTGCTGCTTTCGTCGATGTGCATGGGGGGGGGCGGGGGGGGGGGGGGGGGGGGAGAGGGAGAGAGAGAGGGAGAGAGGGAGAGAGAGAGAGAGAGAGAGAGAGAGAGAGAGAGAGAGAGAGAGAGAGAGAGAGAGAGCATGGTCCAGGAGGCGTGAGGGGTTGGTGTAGACGAGGCGGGAAGACCGAGGAAAGCTGTTGACGCGTTTGGAGTGGGTTGGTATAAACAGGGTCGGAAGACCGAGGAGAGGTGTTGCGGCGGATTCGGACATATGTGTACTACGTGGACATCGGGTGGCCATGGCTGACCAAGGTTTTTTTTTTTTTTTTTTCATTTTTTTTTTCCTGCTGAACTTCGATATGTCTGTCGAGAGAGAGACTTTTTTTCGACCAAGGTAATTTGATTTGAATTTTCTTTTTTTCGTTCTTTTTTTTTCTGCTGGACTTCAACCATATCCTCTTATGTCTGTCGAGAGAGAGGGAGAGAGATATCATCATTGAACTGACCGGCCTCAGGTAATTCAGAAATATTTTATTCTGCTCATCTGATCGTATTTGGATTTGAACTCGGGTCTGTATTTCAACAGTTCATGGCCGCACCAACTGAGCGAGGCCCGCTGGTCATCTTCTCTCCATTTACATGAGTTGTGTCGCGGTTTTTAACTTTTTATCCCATGCTGCTGTCAATATTTCCCCTCGCACCATTCTCTCTTGCTCAACTCTCTATCCATCCCTCCCATCACTCTAGGATCCCCTTTCATCTCTTCCTCTCTCACAGTCAGGAAGCCTTTAGCTAAGTTGTTACAAACCCATGGACTGTCGAAATGCGGCCCTGAGTTTGAATCCAGCTGAAACAAGATGAACGAAATAAAATAGTTCTGAATTATCAGGGTAGGGGCAGTCCCATGATCATACCTCAAGGCCGTCGCTCTTTTCGGGAAAAAAAAAAAAAGTCGGACTCAGGCTTGATGGCGACACCTGTTACCCTTGAATACCGCTCAAGCTGAGGAACTTCAACTCCTACCCCATCAAACTCTTGGGATTGATTCCAGCAAAGCATCCAACTCGACCGGACGCACAACCTAAGAGGTCATGATGGGGGAAGGTGATGATGGGAGGGAGGAGATGGTCGGTGTTCGATTATAGATCGAGAAGCTGATCGCTGAAGGAAGACAGACATTAGCAATGATGACGGGACAGAATGAGACAGGAGGGAGAGGCGAGAGAGGAGGGGGAAGGGAGCAGCAGCAGGAGGAGGAGGAGGAGGAGGAGGAGGAGGAGGAGGAGGAGAAGGAGGTGATGGGGGTTCGATTCATTGGCATTTAGCTCCTCGATTTTTTAGTGTTGGCAAAGATGATCGGATTGAGCGTTCGAATCTAGACGTATTTGTAGATAGGTGCAGGAACGTTTTCGCCACTGTGGCTTTGAACTTAATACGGCGGTAGTACCTTCGCATCTTGACAATCATGTTCATCCATCCACAGTGAGCTGGCCCCATGGTGACATGGGTGGATTTCATGCCAAGGTAGGAAGGTACTCTTGCAATGGTAGTTGTCCTCTTGCAGGGTAGTAATGTACTCTTGCAAGGTAGCAATGTCCTCTTGCAATAGACTCAGGGTCAGCCCCTGCAGTGTGCATCACCACCATGTTGTGTTTATTGCGTCAGCCCTTGCAGTGTGCATCTCCACTGTGTTGTGTTTTTGTAAGTCTTGCAATGATAGTCGTCGTGCAATGGTAGTCATGCTGTCCCCGGGGCTTGATCTCTGGCGAGTAGGACTCAGTTTTAGACTTTTAGTCAAATTTTCTAGCCATGCAGCTGCTGGGCTTTGATGTCAAGTTATACATCAATAATCAGGGTGCGCTTTGTTTGGGGGGAGACGGTAGTATCGGTTCTCGGGCATCTGTTATCTAAGCTTACGTTTTCCTTTTGTTTTGCTTTTTGAATATTCAACACCAATGTTTGCAGGCTCTACTCTTTATTTGAGTCCTCTCATTTCCATTCGCGGTATGATTGCTATAATATTAACATATTGCAAGAGGACAACGGTAGTCCTGCAGGGCTTGAGGCGACGCTGTAGGCCGAAAGGTTTTTGCTGCTCGGTTCGGAACCCGAGCAGGTAGCTTGGCAGAAATGGTATGCTGTCGCTGCTGGGTTTTGAACCCAGGCAGGTAGCTTGGGAGCACAGCAGGTTCTAGGTATCAGCTACCCTGTAGGCTGAAAGGTTACGGTTTTCTGTTGGGTTTTGAACCCAGGCAGGTAGCTTGGGACCACAGCAGGTTCTAGGTATCAATCACAAGAGATGAAGATAAAGTCCAAAAAGCATCCTGAGGTTCGAATATGAGCCTCGTAATCTCGCTATGTGCTGGAACACCTTGGAAGGTACGAAGTACGAAGTCCTTCTTCACTTAGATTTCTAAGCGAATGCCATACATTGGGACAAGTAGGTTATCAGCAGGAAACCACAAAAAAGTACGGCCGCTCGGCTATACCCTGTAGGCTGAAGGGTTACGGTTTTCTGTTGGGTTTTGAACCTGGGCCGGTAGGCTGAAGGGTTACACTGCGCTGGCGAGTTTTGAACCCGGACAGGTAGCTTGGTAGTGTAGTATGCAGAAAGGTTACGAGATTCGCTGTTATGCCTCAGTGAAATAGCCATACATACAGTTCGTCAATTCAATCTTTTGGTACTTGAGGTCAAGCAAGAGGGGTGGCGTTTTTGCCCGATGAGGCCGTGTGCAGCCGTAGCTGCTTGTTACAGTCATCAGAGCCTCCTTTGTGGGCGAGATGAGAATATGCAACCATAGCAGCTACGATCATTTTTTTTTCAGCCCGTTTGTTGGTGGCAATGTGTTTTCTCTTTTCTGTCATAATGCCCTGTATTGTGCACTGTGCACGCGTAATGATGGTTAAGCTAAAAAATATTCTGATGATTTTTGTTGACATTACAGGTGAGCTAGAGGATGAGATGGAGGTGCCTTCCTATGCTGGGTTTCGGTCAAGTGCAGGTATGGTACTGGAACCAGTTGTGCGACTTGTGTTACGTTCAGTCTGTTGGTGCCCACTGTCCAGCAAACAAACAAGGTCTTTCTGTCTCGAGCCTTCTCCTGATAATGATGTTAAATTATTGAATCTTTTTTTTTTTTTTTTTTTTTTTCCCCTTGCGCTGGGGCCATGCTAATCTTCTCTGTATCGTTTCAAGTTTAACGGATGTCCCGAAGGACATTCTTTTTATTGAATCGATTGTCGTTTAATTTGCAAAGTCTCTGTTTTTCTTTCTGATTCCATGTGAGAGAAATAGTGAGAGTTTCCTTTTGAAAAAACATGTCTGGGAGTGCTGACCCTCCGATACATACGTGAAAGAAAGCCTCAGCATTGATCGATTCAGCAAGCAAGTTAGAATTGAAACTTGAAAGTAGATGCAAATCGAGTTGCAAACGTCAGCCTGCTTTCCTGCTGGCATGTCAGCAACATGCCATGTATTGTCAATGTTCACGGGAAGCTGTCATAGAAAGTATGTGTCTATACTGCGTGGAGTATCCTCGATGCCATCACCCGCTGCATCCTCTCCTAGCATGTTCCACATGTAACGTTGGGCATACACCTGCTGCAACCGCAGTCGGATATCCTTCATCCTTGCCAGATGAGCAAGAGACGCAGCAGCCTGAGGAGGAAAATAGAACATCACATGAGCCACCTCCAGAGCACACTGCACTGAAGGTTTTTTCACTGCTAGGGGGACCTGTTGCAGACCGAATCTTGCAACAGCTAAACACCCTTACGTTGGATCAGCCCTCGTCGCCGTCGCTTGCCCATAGAGAAGGAATAATGACTGTGGAAACCCAAGAAACTTGCTCCGTGGCACTCTGTGATGGTCCTCCTGAGATTCGCCTAGCATGCGATTCACATGCATGGTGTCATGAGGATTATGAAGGCACAGCCCATGCAAGTATTTGTTTTCATACGTATGGTGACAGTCAACAGCTGCCTGTCAGAAAAGAAGGGTGTAAGCCCAAAGAAAGCCAAAGTAAAGACAGTCAAGAAAGGGATACAAGCTCATACAACGGATCTATTCTGCTCCATGGTGCTTGCTGTAGAGGTACAACTGTTTCATTGTCGGATTGTCTCAACTCAAGTGTTTTCGGTGTCTGCGATAGGGGACTAAAGCTGCATCGATTTTGTATCTACTATCTACTCATCTGGGTGGAAGAGGGGGGGGTGTTGTGGTGAAAATCTACGACACACGTGTTTCTTCTTTTTGGGTGGAGTGGAACAGAGGCTGCTGTGGTGAAAATCTACAACACACACTTGTTTCTTCTTTTGTGGTCCGGAAGAATGTCTGAATGAACCACTCGCATTCTTCTTTTCTATTCCAGCCTTGCATTGAACCCATCTTTTTTTTTTTTCTTCTTTTTTTTTTTTTTCTTCTTTTTTTTTTTTTTGAACCCTTCTGGTGCTGCTCTCTTTTTCAGGGGCTTCTCCACAGGTTGAAGATTGGTTGGAAGGTTATCGGGAGAAATTTCCTTTGGAAAGAATTCGTACCACCAAAGGCACGATTGCCCCTCAGGCGACTTCTCTGAAAGCCACCATGTCATCAACTGAGGTAAGCCATCCTTTGCTATACGAGTTCTTTTTTTTTTTTTTTTTTTTTTTTTTTTYTTTTGGACCATTTYTGGCATTTYTGGCATTTCTGGCATTTCTCGATTTTTGTGTGTCATCCTTGCGCAGGGGCCATGCTAATCTCCTCTGTATCATTCCAATTTTAACGGATGTCCCGAAGGACATTTGCTATACGAACTTGCGACTAATGGACAAAAGGGGTTGGAAGGTTAATATGGGGTCCTCCTGTGTTCCTAGGTTGGCCACAACGGCTCCTGCGGAAGAAGGATACATAGCGCATGGGTGACATTCTGAGTCTCCAGGCTACGTATGGTCTGCAGAGGGGTGGCAGAGCCTGCTTTCTGAAACGTGGAGGGGCGGGGGAGGGGGGGGGCAGGTTTGGCTCTCGCCATCTTGGGGCCACAGTTCACCCAAGGCTTCTTTTTAACTTTCTTTTTCTCTCTTTCATTCTCGCTGGGGATAAATATCCAAGCTGGGGCCCGCAGGACAGAAGGGGCATGTGCATGTGTGTGTACGAGTGTGTGGTAGTGGTCACGCAGAGGGGAGGCAGTCGGAGATGAACTTCAGCCGCAAAGGAGATTACAATGTTGACTTTCAACGTATAGCAAAGGGCCCGCGCAAAGGACATTAAAATTTGAACGATATGGAGAAGATTAGCATGGCCCCTGAGCAAGGATGACACGCATAAATCGAGAAATGGTCCACAACGACTCCACATTAGTTTAAGGAAAAGAAGAAGAAAAAAATGTTGACTTTGACTTTGACTTTGACCTCACAACGAATTACAATGCCGGCATTGTGACCGGACAGCAGATGAGAAGTTTGACTCCAGAGCGGAATACAACATTGACTGAGCGGTGGATCACAACTTTGACGAAATGGACGGGCGGTGTATTCTGTTGGATATGGAGAAAATGTGTTCGTGGTGTGATATCTCTATATGCTGTTTCTCCTGTCCCTCTGTGTTTTGGCAATTATCGGTCTTCGGATATTGAATGCTGCACGACCGACTGTCGTCATCCAGACGAATGTGAGGTCATTGGGGTGCCTGTACTGTATAGTTGGATGGCAGTGGTCATGGTGTCAATGTGGAAACTGTCGAAGTCAAACAATCAATGTGGCAAGAGTCAAAGTCAAACAACCCAGGGGCTGTCTGCCTGTGAGCATATGCAGGAATGTGATGGCCTTGACATGCAGTATCTGACTGTAATAATGAACTCAGTGTATTGTTCCCCTCCCCTCCTCCTCTTTCAGTCGTTTTTTTAAACGCTTTCTCCTAAATTTGATTGGGGACAGAAGTGAGTTCGTTGTCGTTTTTTAGCCGTTTTGAGTTCTGTTTTTTTTTTTTCCAAATTTTGTCTAACAAAACAAATGAGTATTTACTATTTAGTTTAATTGTCCAAGAAAGAAGAAGTGAGCATGTAAAACTTACTGGTGACAGGATTGTTGAAACTTGAAATGTTGTTTGATGATTTTTATCAACAACTCAAAAAGTTGAAATCTTGTCAAAGGCAGCTAACTGGAAGGCTGGGCCTAAAATAAAATAATTAAAAAAAAAAAAAAAGGCTGGGCCTACCAGTTACTTGGAGAGGCTGCACCCAGTTCCAACTGCATCACAGTAAATTACAATGTCAACATCGACCGGACAGCCCTAAGGTTGAGCCTTGAAACTGCCACGGTCGGGCATGTTGGCCTCCACGAGTCGTGTGACATAATTCTTCACTTCCACTCACAAAGTAGTGAAGACCTCCTGGTCATGTCACACAGGAGTAGAGGAATCATGAAGTGCACTGAATGTTCACCACTCCAACTGTGTGCGTCAGCCTACATCCCGCCAAGCCCTATGACAAGATAGGGCTGACGAGGCTGTACGTTTGACATTATTTGTTCAACAGTTTTCATAAATAGGAAAAAAGGCAGGGTACAATGGTAAAAATTTCCGTAAAATGAATACTAAATTAGTAAATTGTATATTATTAACAATAGTTGAAGAGAATATACTTATATAGTAATACACATTTATAAATAACACCCTGGAGAGTCTGAACTTAAAAGAAAATAATATGCACTTAAAAGAAAGTAATAATAATAATAAATAATTGAAACTAATTTAACTAAATGAATTACATCAATTTACATGTGGATTGGTAAGTTTAATAATAGAACTGCAATCGAAATTAGTTAAATTTGTTTAATGTTTGTTAAAAAAAAGTTGCATTATTTTTTGAATGTCATTGCAAGGAACCAAATTCAACCAATCAATGGGAACACAAATTTTGTGAGCAGCAAATGCCAAAAGGTCTCAAAGCAGAACAGGCATATATGAGCAAAGTTGAGATCAGAATTATGAAAGCCGAGGGCATACCAGATGAGAACACAATGACACTGAAGTGAGCACACCACACCAAATGAGAACACAATGACGCTGAAGCCTCTCGATAAGGAAAGCCCAACTTCTCACCTCCCCTCATCAATGCAACCATGATGTAGCAGTGCCTCTATGATGAGGCCGTCCGTACTGCTGTCGTATACCCTTTCTATACTCATCCTACTTCTCTTCCTTGCACTGGTTTCTCTCTCTCTGTCCACTCTCCTCCAGCCTCGCTATGCTGCCCGAGTCTGACCGCCACGGGCGCGGCCGTCGCCAGGTAAGTCCGCCTGTTCCCCCCGCTCCCCTGATCATCCAGCACTAGCCACCACCATTCTTCCCCCAAAGTGCAGCTATGGCTGCCACCGCCGGAGCTGGTATGCGGTCGCTGCTCCTCACTTCGTTTCCCGGGTGAGCACTGGGCTGGCCACAGTGCGCTACCAGCAGAGATAGCGCTGGCAGCCAGTGCCGTCGACTGTGTGGAATGTTGCAGCCTCCCTGATTTTGTCGTTTCCTGGAGGCCGCGGCTGCCTGGCTGGGACTGGGCTGACAGGCGCTTTATTCTTTTGTTATTTTCGAAAGGTTTCGATTCGGTGATATGGGTTGACTATCTTCGAGGGAAAAAGAGGAGAAAAAAAATAATAATAATAAAAATTATTCCGCGCTGGCCTGCCTCAGACACTGCATCTAACTGGAAGGCTGGGCCTACCAGTTACTTGGAGAGGCTGCGGCCGCTGCACCCAGTTCCCCAACTGCCTCACGCCAGCCTTCACTCAGGCCTGGCAGACCCTTTGTTTTTTTGCCCCGGCCTTCACTTAGGGCGGGGCCTGAATTTTTTCTGGGCGGCCCGCGGTGGAGGCCCGCCAAGGCCTGAAGCCTCGCATAATCGTACCTTGTATTGCTACGGTACTTTCGAATAGCTCAATTTTTTGAAAGAACGTGTTTGCTTGCTTTTGATCATCTAAGAGCTCGTGGCTTTCTCTGAACTCGAAAAGATTTCATTTCATCAATTTAATAATATATGTGGCTATGTCATTTTATAAAGTTTCTGGAACTTAGTCGGATATGAGCTCTTGGGAGTCATCTGCCTGTGTTGTCTGCGAAAGAGTAGTAATTGAACTGTAATTCAGGATTTTGACTTTCTCTGATTGTAGAATCTTAATATGTCAGCATGATCCATGGGGACCATTCCACGCTTTACCGATACAATTGAGCACGAAATATTGACGAGTCTTTGGGGGTCACTGGGAAGGACCAACCCTTGGTCAACCCCCAACCATACGTGGGCTCATGGGGAAATTGGAGACGATCGGGCTTTGAGCGGATCGCTGCTGAGTCTGCGGCGGGGAGTTTCCGTGTCGAATTTGGCTTTGTTAAATACGGTTGATACGAAGTATTGCCTTTTGCACCTCTTTGAACACTTTTTTTATATTTGGATACAATTTGAGAATTAGTGAAAATGCCACAAAACACGAACCAACATCAATGAAGGGGAGCAAAGTATCTGGGTTCCAAATTCTCGTTGTGTTGCCATGGAGACATATTGAGTTTTTGGGGCCCCCGGGCGTGGGGGTGGGGTTAGTGTCTTATTGGCCGCCTGACCCAGCTTTGCTCCCAAATCATTTTTGTGTTTTTTTGCTTTGCTTTGCCAGGTCGTACCGCGGCACCTGTGCTTTTTTGTCTATTAGCTCGATCACCAGGAAACCACAAAAAGGTACGGCCGCTCAGCCTAGCCAGCGACCGCCGAGCTGTTTGGGATCCTCAGAGACTTTACGCAACGCATCTCGCTTGGGCCACTAGCCCGCTCGAGCCTGTTGTTGAGGTACGACCTCATAAAAAGAAAAAGAAAGAAAAAAGGGTCGTGACAGCCTCTTGCGTAAAACATTTTGTGTCACATAATAAGCTGTTGATATAAAACACACTTGAATAACAAAACACTGCAAAAATAGCGATGGACGTGAGAAAGACATGAGCTCTTAGATTACCAAAAAAAATGTTTAGCAGCTTGCTGCGGAAGAGGTGCATCGCCCGGGCGCGTTTGCTTGCTCGTACGTCGATGTAGTAACCTGCTGGCGACCACGGCACGTGGGCACTGATCTCCCATTCCTCGGAAGCAAGCAGTCAAGCGGGTTGTCTAACTCTCTTCCCTCCTACCTTCTTCCCCCGAATACATGTATTTAGACTGAAAGATACCCCAAATACAGCTATAAATACCCTACGTTTCATTCGGGGGAAGAAGGTAGCCCCTTACCTTGCTTTCTAAGTATTGTACAGGCGCGCACTCCCTTTCTGGCCACCAACTTCCTGAAGTTCTCATGCATCATACAGCACGACTGCAACATCGGTAATCCCAGGTGTAGTGGGCTTCCGACCGCGCTTTCAGTAACGCCTCCTATGGATGATGAGCGTGTCTGCAACTACACTCTGCCCACCCGAGATACGATATCTGATGACACAACGAGTCTAACGCATGAGACTCATGATGAGAGGAGATTGCCTACGGTGCAGCCTGACCTGCGGCCATAACACCGAGCTGTTTCGCCAGAGCAGGATAAAAAAGGCTTGGTAAGAGTCTCCGCATCCACATGCACTCCGACCACCCGAGAGATGACATCTATGTGATGCAGGTAGCCTAAACGCGTGAGAGAAGATCACCTATGGTGTGGCCCGGCCTGCACTAATAATCCAGGGGTTGTCATTCAAAAGCAGCATGCCTTCTCGCATGCCAGAGCAGGCCAGTTTTAGGGAACTCATGCCTACTCGTTGAAAAGTACTTCTGTCCACACTGAATGCATTCTGTTTCTTTCCTCCCAGAGTGAATATATCGGTGAAACTCCGACGAAACAGTTTGTCACAGCCCCTCGTTTGTTGTCCTCTTCTCTCTCTCTGCCTACGGTTTACCGGGCAGTTCTGTTTGTGACGATTTTTGTTGTTGTTGTTGTATAAATTCTAATGTTGAAGCTTCAAGACGATCTTAGTTCGTGGTGGGTATTCCAATGATGATCCTTCTTTAAGCCTCCACTGCCTGCCTGCCCCTCTTAAACCACCAGTACACCAGAGTCTGGAGGAGCCTTACTGCACGCCGAGCTTTTCCGACCTCCAGCAGTGCACTTTTTTTCTTTTTTTTTTGGCTGGCGCCGCCAGCCATTGTGGTCCAGTAGGCCGGGCCATTGCTACGGTGTGGTGGCGACAAGGTGCTTTTCTGCACGACTGGGGGCGTGTGCTGGCCGTTTAAGTCCTGATCTTTTTTATCGAATTGGTGTTTTGGGTGGAACCCTGACTCGCCAAACTGCGGGCCAAGAGCCCAACGTTTTTTCTTTTGCTACAGGCTGTTGTCATTGTTTGTGAACCACAAATCACCCGTGGAGACCGGTGCTCCCAGCTTTCGTCATGCTTCACCCCTGACCAACCCGTGGACCTCTTGTATAATCCCGATAAGGCATCAGCCCCTCTCCCCTGTCCCCCTTCCTGAACTGACCCTTTTGTTGTTATGAATCAGGTAAACACAGCTTAATGGGCTGACTTCAATGCAACCTTTCCTCCGTCTGTCGATGATTGCAGACCCAGTGCCCCCAGAGACAACAACAGCTCTCATCGGTCTCTTGCCATCCATCCCAGTCATCCAACAACTTCAATGAAGATGCAAGGCCTTTGATGGCCACTGCTTTCCCGAGCTCATTTCCGCAGGCACACCATAGCTGCAGTCACATCAACAACATCGGCGATTCATGTAGCGATGGTCACCGTCATCTTCACGCCAATCTCCCCTCACATCTTTCACATCCGGGTTCCAGTTTGCGTCCGGTTGCCTCTCGAATTTCAGGTCATGCCCCTGCTTCTTCTGATCCTGGTCCTGGTTCAGATCCCGGTGCTGGTCCTAACGGGATTCCGCCACGGCACTCAGGAACCTGCAGGCATCATCGTCACCCGTTGTCACGAGCAATCCGTTGTTCACACAACGACAATCAAATGGTAACGACTCCGCCAAAGTATTTGAACCCTGATTTGTCGACAGGTGGGCTGACAGGTAGCGGCGACAAGCTGGCATTCTTTTCGAGGGTCGAAAATGAACCGTCTGCCCTGCGAACTGCTCAGCAGCAGCACTCATCCAGTGCGGCTGTAGCGACCCATCCCCACACTGCCACTCTCAGACCACTGAGAGTGAGGAGACAGGAAAGCGATTTCCAATACAGCAATGGAGTGGAGCGCCCATCCGTTCCCGAAGAGACCGAGAAGGCTGGGCGAAGCCTTGGCAGGGGAGAAACAGGGCAAGGCGGTGCAGACCCCCACCATCTTGACAAGTCTAACCACTCTTCTCGCAGCACCGGCTCGTTGGGAAGACATGTGTCTGCCGGTTGGGGTCCTGTGGGCAACGATGGCCATGGAGGAGGAGCTGCTGTGCATTCCAATGGGCAGGTGGTGGTGGAGAGAACAACAAGAGGTTGCAGATGTCCCAACTATTTGAGGCCAAATGCGGGCGGAGGTGGGCGGGTTCATCTACATAGTGTTGAAGCTGCAGTTCGCATTGGAGGCGGTAAGCATGGAGAAGGTGGAGATAGGGAATCTGCCTGTGTGGGCGAGTTTGGCCGGCCGAAGAGCACCAGTAGAGATTACTATCCAGCAGTGGTGGATAACCGTGACAGAGTTGCACCGAGCGGCAGTAAGGGAAGAACAGATGGCGGGCGGTTGCTGGTGAGTGCGCCTGCAGGGGTCGCCCGGGACGAAACTCTTAGTGTGGTGCCATTGAGAAGAGTGGACCCTCGGCTACCCATGGGTGAGCATGAACGTGAGGGCTATATGATTCCACCAAGTTCGAAGGGAACTGCCCCCTTGGCTGTGAACAGGATCACCCGAGGGCCAGGAGGCTTGCCTCATCATCATCATCATCATCATCATCATTACCCTGGTCGTACACCCGTCGACCTCAGCGGAGACTGGCAGGGTCAGGCAGCATCAAGGCAACCATGTGGCGGTGGTCCATCTATGCCTGCAGGTGAGGTTCTGTAATACATGCCAAGCCTAAGTTGCAGCCAGTCGTTGAGCAGGTTCCTGTGTGTTTGAACCCAGGGGAACAACCCAACGAAAAGTTAAAAGAGAAAAACGGGGAAAAAAAGAAAAAGAAAGGGAAACAGGTAGGATCCAGAGAAGTCTTGACGTTACTGAAGATCGCAAAATCTGAGCTTTTCACCTGGTTATGAAGTTTTTCTCGTCTTTTTTCTTTTCTTTTCTTTTCTTTTCTTTTCTTTTCTTTTTCTTTATCGTCTTTTTTTGGACCAGAATCACCAGATATTATACTGATCAGAACAGAGACTATGATTGATCTTAGCCAAAAGGCTGAGAAAGGTAGAGGCGAGTACCCCATTTACCTAAGGTCCACTTAGTTTGTGCGAGGAGGGGGGGGGGGGGGGCGCAGAGGATTGAATAAGTTGATCGCACTTGTGCGTTCCCTTGCTTGCAAAGATGCCTCTGTCAGATTGCACCTGGATGGCCTGATGGCCACTAGAACGACTTACAACAGGATTTGAAGATATATTCAGAATCCAGATACATGCCAACAGAGGCATTCGTCAAACAGGAGACTAAGGGCTGCATACAAAGCTATCCTCCCCCCGCCCGTCCTTCCCCTTCACCCCAACAACCTTTCGAAAGGTTAAAAAGAGGACGAGCAGCAGCAGTAGTAGTAGGAGCAGCAGCAGCAGGAGGAGGCGGAGGAGGAGGAGGAGGAGGAGGAGGAGGAGGAGGAGGATTTTCTGGAATGTATCTGACCACTAAGTTCAGTCCGAAAGGGTCCCAGGAACGTATCTGACCACAATTGCTGCTAAGCTCAGTCCGAAAAGGTCCGATAGCGAGTATGCCTGATTTGATTTTAGTTTTTCCTCCTTGTCAACGTGTGTTTTTATGAGGGGAGGGTCAGGGCATGCCACCACATCCTTCCCCTCCGCCGCCTTTCTTAAATTGATCGCCTATTTTGGGGGGTGTGCCGCACCACATGCACACCAGTGGGTGTCCATGCGCTTTGCATGCATGGAATGCAAGACAAGTATGCTATATTTACTGTTCACACAACTGCACAGTGCTATTTTTAATACTAAATAAGTGGTACCATCTTCTATTTGAGTGGTATTGCTTGCCCAATGAGCAGATCTGTCTGTCTATTTATGCTAGTTGCTGACCTTGCATTTTGGGGCCTGAAATTGACTATTCATTATTTAGCATATGATTTTAGACGATATTGAACTATAATTAGTATTTACAGCACTTTGTTATGCGAAGTAATAATAACTACAATATTAATATATTGTCTTTTTTTTCCTCTTTTTTTGGCACTAATTCTTCTCTCAAATGCGTTTTTTGCATACATGCGGCGCATCGAGGTGCACTCCACAGCGCAGATGCACCGCACCGCGCATGGCGCACCTAAAAGATCGGGGGTCAGCAAAAGAAAAAAAAAGGTTCCAGGGGGGGGGTTGTAGGCCCTTATGCCGGTTCGCGGCAACCGGTACCAAAGTGGGCATTTTTTTTTCGTAGGTCGCGCACGGCACCAAAAAACAAAATGAGGGAGATCTGCGTAGATCGATTTTGAACTACTCAGACCCCCCCCCCCCGCTGGCTGCAGAAATCCCGTAGTCGACCTTCGCGGCTGGACAGCACGTTCTCCTTCCCAGCGGCCGTGTGTCGGCCTTCGTCGCCTCGTCTGTGCACCAGGAAGAAGCCTCGTTGTTGTCGTGTGGCCATTACCAGCGCAGCGGGGTTAGCACCAGCCCCCC